ATGAAAGACTTATGGTGATCCGTAAATGTAAGTAAATGTTCTTAACTAGCAGTTATTGAAAACCAGTAAACACTTGGTGATTAGATTATTCTAGCATTAAACATTTTTCGAAGGACACCATAATAAATCACCAGGAAATCCAATCCAGGACCTTTGTGTTGGTCTGAATAAACCACCATCCTATTATTAACGCTTTTCATATTTTTCAATATCTCATAACTCATAAATTTCTGTTTGAAAGATGCATTACTTATACCAAATTCTGTGAATAAATACTTTTCTCAATCTTATTGTAATAATTACAGCTTATGGGATTTTAGTTTCAAGTATGTTGAAATATCTATCTATCTATCTATCTATCTATCTATCTATCTATCTATCTATCTATCTATCTATCTATCTATCTATCTATCTATCTATCTATCTATCTATCTATCTATCTATCTATCTATCTATCTATCTATCTATCTATCTATCTATCTATCTATCTATCTATCTATCTATCTATCTATCTATCTATCTATCTATCTATCTATCTATCTATCTATCTATCTATCTATCTATCTATCTATCTATCTATCTATCTATCTATCTATCTATCTATCTATCTATCTATCTATCTATCTATCTATCTATCTATCTATCTATCTATCTATCTATCTATCTATCTATCTATCTATCTATCTATCTATCTATCTATCTATCTATCTATCTATCTATCTATCTATCTATCTATCTATCTATCTATCTATCTATCTATCTATCTATCTATCTATCTATCTATCTATCTATCTATCTATCTATCTATCTATCTATCTATCTATCTATCTATCTATCTATCTATCTATCTATCTATCTATCTATCTATCTATCTATCTATCTATCTATCTATCTATCTATCTATCTATCTATCTATCTATCTATCTATCTATCTATCTATCTATCTATCTATCTATCTATCTATCTATCTATCTATCTATCTATCTATCTATCTATCTATCTATCTATCTATCTATCTATCTATCTATCTATCTATCTATCTATCTATCTATCTATCTAATCTATCAGATATTTGTTATTGTATACACGCTTCTAAAACAAAATTTTAAATAAAATTATTTACATATAAATATAGAAATGGAAAAAATATTTTTTTTGTTTCTTGTTAACATAGAAAAATGTAATTATATTCTACTGTAAATTTGTTCACCATTTTCAAAATTGTTTTCCAGAGGTCCTAACTACATTCGTAATCCATATTATTATTATTATTACTGTTAGAAAAAATATTCATTTTTGTAAAGAAGGTAAATAAGAAAACAAGAAAAAATTTTTTTTATTTTATTTTATTATTTGTTGCTTCTATTGAGAAATAAACAAAACAAAAATAAAGAAACAAACTAGTAAACAAACAGACATCAAATGACCAGTAGGATGAAAAATATTCAGTAATTTAAATAATCAAGTCAAATGAAAATGGCAAAATAGGGAATAATTGTCTTCTTGTGTGTGTTAAAATAAACAGATATTGATTTACTGCCACAGATATAATAATAATAATAATTATACCGAAAATTTTATATGCTTGTGGGTCATATTTAACTGTGAGTGTAAACAATTCTAATGGTAAATACTCAGCTTTAAATCATACTTGTTAATTCTTCCGTCTCTGATGTAATCATAGCAGCTAGCCACTAACGCATAAGTGGTAAAAATGTTGTCAGCCGGTTAGAAAAATGTTATCGGTAAGTCAAAAAACTGGCACGCTATTGTATTATATTTGACCTTTGTGGAATATTTTGGGAGTTTACATTGATTATACAATCGTTTATTGTATTATTAAAATCTTGAACCAATCTGAGTCAGATAACCATTGAAAATCTGTATGTACCGAATGGCCATTTCCTCTTAATATGGGACTACTCAGTATTCACAATTGATTGATCACTGGGTGGTGATCAATGTCATGCGTGTCTAGTCCTTATTAGTGCCAAGTAGCACGAAACCCGGGTCCAGGGTTTCCTGTCGACTACCTCCAACCACCATATACTCCTCAGTATTGCATATCTACGATCCTGGATGCGGAAATTGAATCTTCTGTTTTGGATTTGAGCCTAATCGAGTGTGAGGCAGTTATTCAACAAAGACAATGAAAGATAATCGAACAGTGTAGTGAATTGATTGAAATTAGACTAACACCGTTGGATGCCGGCTCAGTTGGTTATGAGTTGTTCATGCGTAAGGCCGAAGGTGCTGGGTTAGATTCTCGTGTTCGGGATCGTGTCTGCATACCCACGAAAAGCTCTACACTGGGACAAAACGGCCGTTCGGTGTCTCTGGGTTTTCAATAGTGCTTTAATTCAAATCGGTTCGTAATTTCAATGAATTTCAACAATATCCACAACCCTATACTTACATTTATAATACATTTAATTAGTCTTTCAAACTGTAAGAACCCACTACCAATTACAACGGATGATATGTAAGTACTAAAGCATACTTATATACCAAAGTCTATGATTATATTCTTTTGTAGAATGTTTAAATTATGGCTCACCGCCTATTTGATTTATGAAATCTAGGTAGGAAACTTTTTCCACTTATGATGATATTTTAGTTTCTCTCCGCCATTTAATCAATTACAAATAGACAAGGAAATTTAATACATTTATATCTAACGTGATTTTACAGCATTCGAATTAAGACGGTTTGTTGTGAGTCAGTTTGAAGGAACTTAATTTGCTTTTAAATTATTCTATTTTCATACGGTTCAAATGCCGCGAATCTTATAAAAAATTTACGAACTTGAAATGTATTAGTGCAGCTAAATAATCGAATAGAAGAACTCACATACATCCAGGATTACTAAAATTTGATGAATGTAATCTGTCGATAGTGTAATAGAAAATGAATGAATAATTAAGAATAATGAAAAATCTGATCAAACGTAACTATTCGAAGTAAATTTTATTTATTAGCAAGACTAACGTTTCTTTATTGTTACAATTTAGACATTTTGGCATTTTCAATGTTCTCGTTTTACATTAGTGAATGTCAAGAATGTAATCGAGAGAGAGAGAGGGACAATAAAATCATCACTGTGATATAAAACATACTGATTGGAATGTTGTATATGTAGGCAAGACAACCGGACAATTGGATTTGAGAGTGAGAGGATGAAAGTGAAATTCGAAACAATACTTTATCCTGTTTAATACATTTTTGATCAGAATAGGGGTTTATGGATATTGCAGTAATTTTAAAAATTAAATTCATGAATCGATGTAAGCTGAACCACCACTGAAAATCTGGAAGCACTGGACGACCTTTTTATCTTAGTATGGGACTCTTAAGAGAGGCGCATCCACTATCCGCACGTGGGACACAAACTCAGGAACTTCGGTCCTGTTCACGGATGCTTAATCTGTAGATCAATGAGCTGAACGGAATCTAGTGGTGTTAATATCTAACTTCAGTCGATCCATGACCTTGTGTAACCATCCATTTATTGTCTGAGGTAGATAACTGTCTCTGCACGACACGAATTGTAATCCATTGATTATGGCTTCTTACTATAAATCCAGGAAATCTAGTCATTAGTAAAAGTCCCACATGCGGAATCGTGGATGCTCACTGATGAAGGTTCCCGTACTAAGACGAAACGGCCATCCAGTGCTTCCAGGTTTACATAGATTCATGAATTCGACTATTTTTATGTCCTACAACCAGATATCCATACTAATAATACAAAAATATGACAAAGTTTGAAGCGAATACATCGTTTAAAATTACAGAATGCCAACTTAAGATTGTTTTTAAAATAAAACTGTTAATAAGCGAAGATAGATAGTGGTTCTCAGTGGAATCCGGGACGCGCATCTTGTCCTATTTGGTAGCCGTCACCTGGATGTACCTGCATTTCAGAGTTGATGTTTATTCCGGGATTCCAACCCATTACTGTTGGCTTCAAACGCCATCGTGTTACCCACTTAACCACTGAATCCTGATGTACACATGCTTGTGCAATGAAGTGAAGTTTAAATTCACTTGGTTTTTCCCATTGATATTTAGGACTGCAATTGATCAGTCACTTATTGGCATATGTGCATACTGTGCTCAGTGCCTCGATATAGCCTTAATTCACAAGAATTATTTGGTAAAAATACCTAAATTAACTAGATAATAGAAAAGAGTTTACTTAGATTCAATCAATATGTACTATTCCACGTGTGAATCATAAAATGCCTACAAAAATCTAAAGATTATGATTTGTAACTTAGGTTCGTTAGTCACCACGTTTAACTCTACAGAGGAGAAGTAGAACATTATAAATATATATGCATATCAAAAAACTAATTTTAATTTCATATAAACAAATATATCACTTATAACTTCCAGCATGCTATAACTTTGTTTAGATTGATTAATCTCTTTTTGTCATGAAATTATATTCTACTAATATTCCTTAAAATAAAATATAAACAGTTCTGTTAGAAGATAACAGTTAACTACATCAAGTTATTTTATTCAAAATGAAAAGAGATGAATATAGGCGACATTTTGAATAAATGAGGATACAATAACACTTAAAACTGTTCACTCGTAAGCGTTTACTTCCCTGTCATAATCTATCTAGTTTGAATTGAATAATGTGAATATGTTGATCTCTTAACTATAGAAAAATGTTATACAGCTTATCGAATAATTCAAATATGTGATATTCATGAATGACAATATATAAATTTATATTAACCTGACTACTTATTCTCATTGTAGAAAAGATACTTATCAAATACTTTTATCAAGATTTCATATTTTTTTTGACTTGGGAAATTCTTTCAAATACTAATTACAAAATGTATTATGGTAACTGGATTCTTGATAATGTTACATAGTCTATTTTGATTGGTTAATAAATTAACCAATAAGATGACTCGAAAAAGTTATGATTATATTATCTATTTTTTATCGTTAACATTTAATGCCTTATTCATATTTACTGATTATTTACAAATGTATTAGTAGTAAGTTTCAATTAGATTAAAACATACATATACATATATATAGATCTATAACACAGGATCATGCTTGATGGAACTTTATGGATAGAATACAATAGTACATGTAGTGGAAATATAAGTACTACTGGTATAATAAAACTGGAATATTCTTTACCAATATTAATACTTAGCATAATTGCTTTAATATTAAATGGATTATGTATTTCAATATTTTCAAGACAACACAGAAAATCAGTTATGAGAACAAGTTTACTTGTTTTGTCAGCTACTGAAGTACTGTTTCATTTTTTTGTTTGTATAGAGTATACTACACAACTTATATGTTCATCAAATCCACGAATGATAAGTCCTACAGAATTTATATTATTTGCTCTTATTAATTGGGGTTCTGATTGTTCTTTATGCACACGTAATTGGTGTAATGTATTAATTACATCAGCTCGTACAGAGGTAGTTGTTTATCCAATGCGAAAACGACGTATACTTTCACATTCTTCAATAAAATTTATTTATGGATTTTTATGGATTCTATCTGGATTTCTTGCTATTGTACGTGCATTTTATGATTATGCAATTGTCTGTAATTCATCAAATAATCAAATGAATAATCTAATTATACAATCAAGTGAAACATCACTATTAGATACAAATAAATTGGATTTATCCAATGATTTTAATCAAAAAACAAATCCTGTAACATATATTGATGCTTTATTAGCTCAATCTATCATTATTAATTATGAAGCATATTGTTTTTTCATATTTCAAGTGATTGCACCAACATTAATTGTTTTAATCATGTCATTTATTATATCATTTTATGTTTCACCATGGCGTGATACTAAAATTATTGAAGTAACCAATGTACGTCGAAGACATCAAATGAAAGCCACAAGAACTATATTATTTTTAGCTATTTCATTTCTGTGCTTTCAAACGCCTAGTTTTATTTTAGTTATTGTACAACATTATACTAATTTAAAAATTGAATTTCAATTAGCTAAATTAGTTGCTGATTTATTATTAACATTTGATTCTATTATTAATATAATGATTTATGCAATCGGTTTACCAAGTTTTCGTGATTATTTAAATCGAATGTTTATTTGTTTATGTCCTTGGACTAATATTATTAACAATAATATTAATATTGGTAACAATAATAATAACAATAGTAACCGTATTCTGTTAAATTCAGTTGCTATGCCCCAATCAGAATTTCATCCCATCTCATATAATAATAATAATAATTCAAAAATTACACAATTAAAAGCAACACATTCATTTAATTGGAATAATTATCGTCATGGTATTTATGATTCACATAGAGATAATTCTTTTCAACATAAAGATAATCATTCACATTGTCATTATCATTCATTACATGATAAGAAACAACGTCAATATACCAATAATAATAATAATAATACTATAGAGTCTATTGAAAATTCACAATGTAAAAATATAAATGAAGATTCATTGAGTATTAGAGAAAGAGAAATATGCGATGATATGTAACTAATGAAAAATCATTAAAAAAACAGAAGTTAACATTCTTATTTAGGAATATATTCATATATTATTATTATTGGGTTTGTAAACGAATGTATATTTATTACTATAATTCATAGAATAATTAATCATACTTATGTAAATGTTACCGGCATTTGGTTTATGATCATTATTATGTTTTATTTTAAATTCATGAAGAAGAATATAAAACAAAAAAATTCTAGATTAATAGTTTGTTTTCTATATTCAAATGATAGAATAACCCCATTTAGTATAAGAGAAACTTATTGAAATCAATGAGTTCTATGACATTAGAACTGGTTGAAGTAGACTAAGTCATATTGAGATCAATGAACCTGCAACTCATATAACTACTTATCAATCTAATAATGATTAAAGAACTGAGAACTATGCGGAACTAGTAAATCAATCACTTCTTCATACATTTATTTGGATGCGCACTGCTGAGAAGCCCCACAATAGGATGAAACGGCCGTCCAGTGCTTCCAGGTTTTTCATTGTGGTTTAGCTTCAACTGACTCATGATCTTAACCATTGAAATTATTATAATATCCACAAAACCCATCTGATATTAAAATAATTTATAATCAACTTTCATTTTCACTTTTTACTCATTCTGAAAATTGATTTTTATTGGCTTGGATTATACTGGACATATGTTTTGATGGCTTGCTTGGTAGTGAATCGATTGAACACTGGGGAGGGTTAACAGTGATGTTCGTAGTTGTTTTCTGTATTTTGGTTTCAAGCTATCCTATTTTATAACTGTATTGTGTTTACTTAATTATTCAATAAGAAAAATGGATGTGCAACCAACCTGTCAATAAATGTGTGGATAACAAGGCTATCAAGTATATTAAGTCAAGTAATGTGGTAAAAAAATGCTCTAAACAATAAAATGTTAGTCTTGAGTAAGGGGCGTCACTTTTTTTACACAATTACATCCACAGTAGTTTATAACTTTCATCAGTATTCTTTGTGGAATGTTTATTTGTTAAGTAGCGGCTGTAATATAGTTTCTTCTACTAGTAAGATATGATAATCACAATTTTTTTTATAGAAACATGATTAAATGTTTGAATTATGGAAATATAAGAAGTGTGCATCACATATGTATGTGCAGTAAACCTCGGATAAATGTGTCTCACTATTTCTGTATGTGAGCATTCGGTAAATATATCTATTTCATTTTGTTTTTAAAAAAAATATTGCTGAAATGCTTTATTTACACAGAAATTTAGATTCACTGTGGATAAGGATAACATTTATCATATAATGCTGAACACCGTAAACCTTTCATCTTTATTACAGTTAAGTGATCGAAGGAAACTATTTATTGAATCTCAATATCATGAAAATAAATATGTGAAATAGATAAATACTAACCCACTCTATTTAATAATATACTGCACTTTCTATACACTAATAACAGTAATGTAAGAGAATAATATCATTTCTGAAATATGGAAGATTGGCGCCAAACATAGATTAAGTCTAATTAAAACAAGAACCATTATTTCAATTATCATTTGTGACATTTATGCCCAAACTGTTCTGTGCTTTTTCTTCTATATTGTTAATATAGCTGCTTCATTTAATACAAAACATATCTGACTACTTTGATAGATTTTTTTTTACATTTTACGTTGATATAGATCTTATCATTTCATCGAAAAACAACTAATTGTTATATATTGTCTCAATCCTGTCAAAGTTTACTCAATATCCCTAACTTGTACGAGTGTTTATCACAGTTTATAAAGCTTTAGAATATCGCTTTATAACAACTCATCCTATGAATAGTTATGCAGTGAAACCATTTCTAGTAATTTCGTCAGTGTATAACTTATATATATATATATATATACCAATCAAAATTGACGGAGAAGATTTGGAAGATGTAAAAACCTTTACATAACTGGGCAGCATCATTGGTGAACGCGGTGGATCTGATGCAAATGTGAAGGCGCGTATCGGCAAAGCAAGACCAGCATATTTACAACTTAGAAACATCTGGAACTCAAAACAACTGCCAACCAACACCAATGTTAGGATTTTCAATACAAATGTCAAAACAGTTCTACTGTATGAGGCAGAAACCTGAGGAACTATGAAAGCCATCATCCAGAAAATACAGGTGTTTATTAACAGTTGTCTACGCAAAATACTTCGGATCCGTTGGCCGGACACTATTAGCAACAACGTACTGTGGGAGGGAACAAACCAGATCCCAGCGGAGGAAGAAATCAGGAAGAAGCGCTGGAAGTGGATAGAACACATATTGAGGAAAACACCCAAATGCGTGACAAGACAAGCCCTCACATGGAATCCTTAAGGCCAAAGGAGAAGAGGAAGACCAAAGAACACATTGCGTCGAGAAATGGAAATAGATATGAGAAAAATGAACAAGAATTGGATGGAACTAGAAAAGAAGGCCCAGGAAAGAGTGGGTTGGAGAATGGTGATCTGCGGCCTATACTCCATTAGGAGTAACAAGCGTAAGTAAGTAATATATATATATGGAAGGGCAATTATAGTAGCGTTAGGCAAACAAATTATTATTATTTATGATTGAAAGAAGTTTTTTAAGCGTGAAAAACCAATCAATCCTGTAGTATAATAACTGTAACACTATTCTGACAATATTAAAACTAGCATGATACAATAGGATAATGTTAATCGATAAATGCAATTACTGGAAATCGAAATTGTACAACGTTGGTGCCAAAGAAAAATATGATTAGTATGTATCCAAATCATGACAAAATGAGCTTGATGATTTATTCGGTAATATATAACGCTGATTCGAATTTGTAACCTTCGCAGTAATTATAATATAAAAGGAAAATCAAAATACAGTAAAGAAAAAAAGAAAAAGAAAACAATCAAATTAATGACTGTTTTTATGTGATGATTCATGATACTGAGAAATGCTGTCGAATATACCGTAGGATGAAACATAATTTGATCAAATGTAAACATGCGTAATTATTTATTTAACTATTAATTATAACATGCGAAAATATTGTTGCCATAGTGATAATTTTATGATTATATACAGTAGAATGGCTTGACAATAAACGTTTGTTTTAAAAAATAAGTCAAGAATGACTAGATTTACAGAATACGGTGAATCTATTGTATTTCTTTGACTCTTCTTAATATATATATATATAACTATTACCAACTGTTAACATAACGTTAGAAACGAATTGTCAATCTATAATGAATAAGTTTTGTATAATGTGAAAGAAATGATGAATTAAAGTTGTGAAAGGGGGATTCTTTTTATAATCACTTACAAAATACCATAGATTGAAATCATGAGTCACTTGAAGATATACCACCATGGAAAACCTGGGAGCACTGGATGGCCAACTCGTCCTAGTGTGAGACTCCTCAGCAGTGCGCATCCACGATCCCGCACCCCGCGAGATTCGGACCCAGGACCTATCAGTCTCGCGCCAGGCGCCTAACCAACTAGACCACTGAGCCGGCATCCAACGGTGTTTATGTCTAACTTCAACCAATCCACGAAGTTGCGCCACCGTACACCATTGTCTTCAGTGAGCTGATGTCTCACAACAGATCTGGTTGAACTACACTTACAAAATAATTTTAAAATGTCAAAATCATTTTATTATGTAATATAACAACATTTCAGGAGTAAAAGTGGAGCTGTGACTTTAGCTCACTAAATTTGTGATTAAAATCGGTTAGAAGAAGTTAGAGTATTTTAAGGGATGTTGAAGATTGACTACTAATTGTTTTTGAATCAACAGGTCAAATTAAAACTTTTTAATTGATATGACTTCTGTGAATCCTAATAATGTAGGAAAGAAGTGTTTAATAATAACTTTGAACTAATTCATTAAATCCTCATTATGTGAAGTGTATAGTAAGTGGCGTGGTGCTGAATTACATAAGCAGATTTCTCTTCGTATATGTAAGCTTTTTGGTATATGCTCATTTACAACAAGTAGAAGACCAACTTTATTTCTTTTTAATATACGTGTTTGGTTGTATATGGTGACTGATAAATTCAACTGGACGTGAAGTATGACCAATATTTATTTAATTTAGCTTGCATTATTCAGTGTTATATGGTGTATAGTGGAATCAACTTCCAAGAAAAAATGTGCTTTTTAAACTTTCAGCCATCAATTACTTTTGTTCATTACTTGATCGCCTTTGAATGACAATCGAATAAAAACATTTTGTATTCTTGTTTTGTATTTGCTCATCCTATTTCGGTAAAATACGTCTTTAAAATTGATTAAAGGTATTCATTTTCCTGTAACAATTATTCTGCACAGTATATTCCTTCTCGAGGCTCTCTGTGGTAGAGCATTTTCACCAATCCATACGTATAACCTGCATGACAAGGAAATGTGAAATTTCAAGTGTCGATGAAATGGATGACATCGTTTTTTTAATGTTTCATTTTGAAGTTAACAATCGGATGGACTTTTTTGGAAAGTGATTCTTTCATCAAACTATTTGTTAGTTATTACTTCAGCTTGGTAATTTGCTTAATTAAAACGATACGAAATACTTTCAGGCTAATTCAAATGTTTATTTCTAAGATATTATACTATAAAGCTTTCATACCTAAAAATAGAAAACTATACATTTCAAAAAGATTTTGATTAATGAGCAAATTAAATGACAGGATATAGTTGTTCTCGTGAACAACTATATTTTCTCCATGAGTGTCCTCGCCAGCATGTTCTACCGACAGGATACAGTTTTGCGTTTTAGTTTGTGATTTTATGTCATGGAAACAGTAACTTATTACCAAATAACTTGCTTTGAAATCCCTTGAGTTTTAGAAACATATTTTATTACTATAGTGTTATTTTGCATAATATTTAATGTTTAACTTTATTGATTGTTAACTCATTGAAAGTACAACTGATAGTTGATACAAACTAACCTACGACATAGCTAAACATAACAATAAGCAAATTCGGATTTATCGGTTGACCAAACGAAAAACGTTTCTGTTAAGTCCATGAATTGATTCAAGTTAGATAAAAACTGACAAGTTGGGAAAACTAGACAGACATTTCGTTCTGGTATGAGACTTCTTAGCAGTGTACATTCACAACCCTTTCATCTGAGATCTAACTCACGATCTTCAGTCACGCGTTTGTACGCCTAATTTCTAGGTCTTGATAATATTCAATAATCTACACAAGTCCATAC